ATTAGTTATACAATATTGTATCAATATTAATCGCATTGTGATTGTTGTTACGTCCTTTGAAACATTTACCAACAAATATGTCATTACATTTTTAAATGCTACAAGAGTATATTGTAAATACAATCCACCACAATATCGTTACAACGCATTGCCATCACCAGTTCCCGTACGATCGTTGAGGATAGGCATTGAACAGCGCATAGTCATCTAAAGATGGGTGACCGTGTGACACGGAATCGAATCTCACGAATAAATGAAACGACACAAAATATAAAATGCCAGTTTTTTTATTATGTAGACAAAATAATACTTCATTATATTTTTCTCAATCTATTTTAATTAATAATGATTTTTCACTGAATTTTTTTACATTCTTAATAAAATATTATCGAAATATTAATGAAATTATAAAGAAATTTTAATGAAATTGGGTCAAAATTGTGAATGCTTTTCAAAAGCATTTCAGCAAAAGTTCATTATATTTTCAATAAATTATTTTCATCAGATACAAATACCTCAATTGAGATCTTACATACGAATTTTTGCGGAAACGGCATTTGAGAATTCAATTGAGAATTCAACTGAGAACTGAATTGGGAATTCTCTTCTTATCTCAACAGAAATTTTTCAGTAGGGAACACCTGCTAAGGATGTTTTTATATCGTATTGGGAGTATAAATTAGTTCGGTCCGTTTTTTTGTGATCAAAAATTCATTTATTTCAGAACAAAATGAATGAACAGATTAATCAAACTATTGTCCATCGCTGGCTACTACTTTTTCCCACCTCTCAGGTAATTTTCGAATTCCATCTCGAAAAAATGTCTCGTCTTTTGAGGCGATCCAAGTTAGAAACCAATTTTGGGAGCGGTGCACTTGGACACGGTGCATTTGGACACAGCCAATCACAGCACCGTATGATTAGAGACATTTGTAGGGTCCCTTGGAACAGCGACTTGTGATTGGACTGTGTCCAATTGCCTCGTGTCCAACTGATATACACCCACCAATTTTCGATTTCTGCGAAAGAAGTGAACCGGTGACCTGCCAAATCGTGCTGCATCCGTCGAAACAACCAGTAATCAGAAGGAGCAATGTCCGGCGAATACGGCGGGTGCGGTAAAATATCCCACTTGAGCGTTTCCAAATAATTTTTTACGACTTTTGCGACATGAGGCCGAGGCGTTATCATGCAGAAGAATAACTTTGTCATGTCTTTGCTCGTATTCTGGCCGTTTTTCTCGTAATGCACGGCTCAAACGAATCAACTCCCAATGATTCTGCAAGCTCCTCTTGCGTTTGACTCGGATCTTCATCGAGTAATGCCTCCAATTCTTTGTCTTCGAATTTTTTGGCTGTCCAGAGCGAGGCTTGTCTTCAACGCTGAAATCACCATTCTTGAAACGTCGAAACCATTCCCTACATGATTTATCAGTTGGAGCATTGTCACCATAAACTTCTACAAGCATTCGATGCGCTTCAGCTGCACTTTTCTTCCAATTAAAGCAGAAAACTAAAACCTCCCGCAAATGCTGCTTAGTTAACACAAAATTTGACATATTCAACACAGTAAAAAACAGGGGTTTTGTATGAAACTCAAAACGATATAAACTGAACATTATTGACAGATGTCTAACCTCTCTGAAACTACCGAAATCAGCTGTCACTATGAAACATTCATAACAGCCAGAGCTATCTTTTGAAAACGGACCGAACTAATTTGTACTCCCAATATTTAAGAAATATGAACAGAAATAAGTATAAAAGAGAATATACATTAGAGGATAAGATATTAGCATTGTCGCTTTATAAAAAGAACCCTAAAGCTTATAGATATATGGCACAAATATTTTATTTACCTAGTAAAGAAACATTAAAAAAAGTGGTTCAAAATATTACGTTAAAACCAGGAATTTCTGATGTAATTTTTGATGAAATACAAGCTCGTGTTGAGTCATTTATTGATGATAGATATAAATATTGCATACTTTTTGATGAAATGAAACTGGATATTTCATTGACATATAACTCAGCTGCAGATTTAGTGGAAGGTTTTACTGATGGTGGTGATAAAAGAAAAATCAAAATAGCTGATCATGTGCAAGTGTGGATGCTAAAAGGAATTTATGGTACTAAACCATGGAAACGGGTGATCTTTACGGTTTCCATGGAAACCATGGAAACAACCAATTGTATTCTCATTTTGTAAAGATTGTACACCTTCTGATAATATTGTACGTACATTTAAAACTATTGTAAAAAAGGCCCAAGATGCAGGATTACAAATTATAGCTTCGGTATGTGATCAAAGTACTAATAACGTAAAAGCTATACGGCAAATGATTTTTTACTCCAAACAAGAAGCAATAGATAATAATTTAACTGTAGAGTATGATGTTATAATTATAAGGGATCAGCAAATTATCCCACTATACGATCCACTACATTTGTTAAAGTGCATACGCAATAATTTATTAACAAAAGATTTATTATACAAATTAAAAGATGGCAAAGAACAAACAGCAAAATGGTCTCATGTTGAGGATGGGTATGAAATTGATTACAGCAATGGGCATCTGCGAATAATGCGTAAATTAACAGATTATCATGTGATACCCAAAAAAATTAAAAAAATGAAAGTCTCGTATTGTACACAAGTTTTTAGTAACACTGTATCAAGTGTCATGACATTAATGAGTAAAAGTCAAAGCAAAAATTTTATTTCTAACAAAACCATGTCATCTGAAGGTATAG